TTGTGGTATGCAAAGTTCGTTGCGGTGTCGATGTAATGCTGTTTTAGCGGATTGTCGAGGATTTTGAAGAGGAGGTTGCTCCATGACGAGTTGCTTGTCGAGGAGGTTGGCTGAAGATGATGAAGAGCAAAAAAGCGCCCGCTCAACCTATTTTGGACGAGCGTACCATTGGCTGATGGATGAGATGCAGAGCCGGGTTTTCTGTTGGACCATGGTGACGATCGTGTGTTTGCAGCGCAACCGGTCGTTCCTGCGTAATGAGAAGCCGCTGTGTGGTTTCACGTCTTATCTGCGTCCAGCGCACCGTAGTACTGCACCCGCTGTCGTGCACGGTATCTCCCACCGCGTGTGTCTAGTGGAACGGGACTCAACAGTCTCAGCCACATGCCACTTCTGCGCCACGCACACACAGCAGCTATCTGCGTCGCACCATACAGGTAGCTGAGTGATAAGGCCCACTCGACTCCGGGGAGGGTCTTCCTCAGCAGCAGAGAGTATAGTAAATAAACACGGTTTCCTCCATCATCCTTACTGTTTGTTCAGTTTCCTTGGGGGTTACATATGTATATGTTATTAGGTTGCTCCTCCCTATCCAGCTAGCTAGATGCATGCACACCACCAGGCTGCCACTCCACCTCCAGCAAACCTGGGTGGCCGGGCAAAGACCAGGGCGGGGAGAGAGAGAGCTCTCAACGTGATCCTGGCTTCGCTGGCGTTGCGGTGCAAAAGCAAATGCTTGTGATGCGGTTGATTCAGTGGTGTTATTCTATCTACTTACAGCGGGAGGGGACCCTGCATGACCCTAAGTAGCTTGCCGGGTGCGGATGGTGCGGATGGGTTGGCATATTCCTACTTAGGGTTGGGGGTTGGGGGGTTACGTCCATCACACTGCTTGTTGACAGCAGTGGTTGGTTTGAGTTTTCCCTACGGTGACTGGGTCTTGTACATTTTTGTGTAGGGGCTGCTGTGATTTGTGGACCCCGGCACACCGGAGAGTGGCTAGACCTCACTTGATTGTTTTCCTTTGATGATAAGGAGGTGGAGGTGTTGTTGTGGTTGTGGTGGTTGTGCTTGTGGTGATTGGGGGATGATGGCGATAATGCTAGCGGTGATGAAGTTGCTGGCAGCGATGGTGATAGCTGTGGTGTTGGTATTGGTGGTGATGGTGGATGTACAGATATGTATATGGGGGTGTGGGGTAGCGTGACCTTCCACTCAACGTAAATATTTAATAGTTTGGCTGATGATACCCTAAGGTCCTTTCCTTACTCGTCACTTAACTGCGATAGGTAGGTGGGTAGGTAGCTTGCTAGCTTGCTAGCTAGCTAGCTAGCTAAGATAAGGCGGATGCGCATAGGGAGGCCCTTTCGGCGCGTGTGCTGCCTCGGGGTGGCCCTCGGAGACTGTAAGTAATGCAGCCCGAGCAAGGGGAGGGAACGGCGACCCCCCAGAGGTGGCGGGGATCAGCTCGTCTGTTCGCATGCAGGGGATGCGGCGAGCCCTCCGGTCCCTGTGTGAGACTCCGACATCCTCGCCAGAGACTGCAGGCAGGTGGACAGGCGGCCGCTTGGGACCGGCGGGAAAGCACCTGCCTGTGGCCATACACACAGGGACAGGACCCCTCAGCCCCACCCTCCCACACAGCCTGTTTCCCCGGGTTCTCAGACTTCGGAACTCCCCGGTACTGGTGCCAGGTAATGAGCTGTTGGGGACCTGAGCTGGCTGCGGCCCTGGCTTGTGGTGGCGGCGGTACGTACTGTAAGAAGTTCGTGTGTGCTTTGAGAGTTGGTGTTGTAGGCTGGGGTTTGTTTCCTAAGGTGCCAAATGTGCCAAAACACCCTACCCAAATTCAAACTGGCACGTGTCGTTGGTACGACTTTTAATACCAGAGTGGTAATGGCGCTGTCCGATGGCGGTGTTGATTTATTTGTGCTTTCACACGGCACGGGCGGGGCGGGGGCCGGGGTGGGAGGAGAGGAGAGGAGAGGAGCGGAGCGGAGCGGAGAGGACAGAGGAGGGACTTGATGTACCCAGGTCCGCCATGTTGCCGTCGTCTTCCTTTTCCCCTTTCCTTCTTCACCACCCTCGTCCTCATTCCCATTCTTTGTCCTCGTCCTCGTCCGGACGTTTCTGACTGCGTTGTTTACCAAAAAAAGCGCGAGGAAAGGTGACTATTTTTCTCTTGGGGAGTGTAGGTATGCATTATCCCCCGCTTTTGTCTTTTCGACGTCGCTGCTTCGGCACCATATCCTTGTGGCACAGGTGGTGCTGGCCAGGTCCATCTCGTCGACTCGACTTGGCTCATCGGTTCTTGCAAGTCGCGCTGTTAGCTTATGGCTGCTATAATAGCCCTTGTACGGCGGTACACGAAAGGCACAGGAAAATCCCCACTACAATTGCGTTTCTTCGCTCCCTTTTTTAGCCTTCATTATTCTGTTTTGTCAGTCACGACTAGTTGCCAGGGCGCCCTGAAGACTCATTGTGAAGATGAAGAACCGCGAGGGCATTTGTATACGTATACGCGTATGTAATCTGACGGCTGCAGGGCTCCCCCGTGCGTGCGTGTGCTGTACACGCCCTCTCCGGTTTGCACCAGTTGGTACCTCCTTTTTTCCTGCGATTTGGATGGAAAGGGCCTGGATTCCAAGAAATTCCAAGAAATGGACTCCAAGAATCACTTCGAGAAGGAAAGAGCTCAACTTCAGACTAAAGAACGTTCACCGTTCGACTCTTACGCAACCCAGTTTCGCTGCTCCGTGTGGCAGGACAGCACAGAGGATTAGTGCCCTCGGCTGCGCCCCGCCAGGTCTCGGCGGGGCGGTTGTGCACCTGGTGGTTGCTACATACTTAGTACCCAACTAAGCAATGCAACCTTTCCAACCTATTTTGCAACTTGTCATTTGGGCATCGGATGGCCATGCTGCATCCATCTTGTGCTTGGATTAGGGAACAGGAGTAGTCAGTCACTTCTGAGATTAGCTCGATGCCAAACAATCTTGAAGTGCGCAACGTCACGCAGTCGTGTTTCATGGTAAGTTGCTAGCCAGATGTTAAACTTCAGAAATGCATGCGGCATATATTGCCAGAAGATGCATCGCCTCCCTGCCACGTGTCTTTGGCGACGAGGAGCCCCAAAAGATTCGCAGCAAAACCTCACGCTAAGCGTATGTAAGCTAGGCTTGCCCACCTAAATAAATGTCTTACCGTGTAGTGGGTGTGGTTCGGGGTGCTGCAGCGTATGTTGTTGGCTGATGATAAATGGTAGGAGTATGGTAAGTCGAATGAGGTGCGATTACCGACGGAAAGCTTACGAGGAGCAAAACTAACTGATGAGTTGTGCTCGTGTAACAAACTCCACACTACACTAAAATTCTTCGTCTTGTACCTGTTTTGTGCCTTGGAGGCCACAAGCGCAGTCACGATCCCGCCATGCAGCTGTGCAGGTTGGTTTACCCACCTGGAAGGTGGGCAAGAACCTATTAGATGCTGGATGAAAAATGGACGAGCATGCTCGGACTGAGACACAATTACTCTTTGTGCAACCTGGCAAGAATGGGGCCGCAGCGCCTCCTATCACGTCATTCTTGCCAGGTTGCGGTGTTATTGAATAAGAGAGGCAAGCATCTAGGGACCTGAAAGGTGGGCAAGAACCAACTCGTCTGCGTGACCCGCGGTGTAACAAAGCAAAGGCGTAACCCGGGATGCTCAGTTGGGCCTTGCGTCGTTACATTGCCCCCCCTTTAGCAATGGACGTCCGCGGCCATTATATCGAGCATTGGAGCCATCCCACCTCACGCATTGTGCGCTGGTTTATCCATTACCCATGATATCGCATTCTGCGATACCTGCATGTTGTCAAAATCGAACCGCCGACCCGAAGATTTCGTCGGAATTCGTGCGGCCCCGTCTCGATACCATTGTAACAAAGCAAAGGCGTAACCCGGGATGCTCAGTTGGGCCTTGCGTCGTTAGACGCGGCCAGCGCCCAACAAGGCGCAAGGACACACGAGTGCTGAGGCGTTTTCATTCGCGGCAGCTGGATTCTGCAACAGAAATGCAGCGAGGGAGTGTCTAACAACGTCTTGTTTTATACATATTTTATTACCGCTAGCTGGGGTTGAAAATTACCCTAAATCTTACTGCGAAAACGACCCCTGCAACGTTCGCCGCCCGAAACATTGCACACATCGATGCAGGAGTTGCAGAGCTATACAATATAGAGATTCACAGCTTATACGTGTAAATGTCAATGTCTACTGTCAAATCACATAACCAGGAAGATTGCTCAACAAGCAAGAGGAAAAAGTTTGGTCTCTCTTTTTGAACTCACGACGTGAGATGGCTTCCAACATCCACCTTGGAATCATTCTTAATATTATATTCTAGTACACAGGATTGGCGCAATAGGCAAGGATTTGAGCCAGATAACAGGTAGCTTTTACACCGGAGCGCGACCCGTGACTGTCACCTGGCCACCCGTGAGGGCATCGCGGCAATCAGTGATGCAATCGAGGATTAACTGCGATTGTAAAAAAATAAACAATATCAAATCTACGATGCGTAACTTACGTCGTTGCTTTGAAGCTTAGGAAGACAGATCGACATTTTTGTGCGAGCGTTACCTTCCGTAACTAATTTGAGAACCTTGCTTCTCAAGTTAGTCACCAATCCCGATGCAATCACAAGCCTGCTACAAAAATACAGAATCATAAGTATGCACTTAAATACGTATTCGACGAAAGAGTCATAATCTACTTGGCTTGTACAAAGCCGAACCAGAGTACTATCAAGAGTAGGGGTTTGTCACAGCTTTCCCAACTTGCTGAGATATGAGAAATCAAGGCCGAGGCTACGGCCACAAAGGCGGACCATCTGATAGAGCAGATGGAAAACAATCTGGGCCCGGCGGTGGGGGTTCCGCTCAAGGTCAAGGTCAAGGTCGGGGACGGGGACGAGCCGGCGGCGAACCGTGTAGATATCTAATGCAGGGCCACTGCAAAATGGGCGACCTGTGCCGTTTCTCGCACAGCGTGAAGGACGGCACGCAGGCCTTGTCCAGGCCAGGTTCCGCCCTGGGGCCGCCGCCGCGATCTGTTGCGGCCGCCGCAGATCCCGAAGATCCTTTCCGAGTCTTCAAAGCACTGAGCTCAAGGGAACTGAACTCCGCGGGTCAGGTAAGCACGGTTGCGCGCGCACAACCGCAAGGCATGCATGCGTTACGTGGGGAAAGTACTCCTGGTGTACTCATGTATGTATGTGTGTGTGTGCATATCGGTTGCCGCCGACGTTCGATGGGGCGGACGTTACCTGTCTTCACCGCAGTCATAGTTTTTTTGGTGCATGCCATCGCGTACAGCAGCATACCGCGTGTCTGAGGGTGATGTAGGGCCGGTTTGGCACTCGCAACTACCAACCGATAAACAACCACCGCGAGAATCTATTACCAAACCATGTATGTGTATGTGCGTATGCACGTGTGCAAATAATATGTTCGTATGTGTGTAGGTATGTACGTGTGTGTGTATATGTGGGTTTTAGTACGTATGTGAGCAGCAGCAGCAGCAGCTGCCGTAGCCGCCTTTCATCGCCATCCACCCAATCCGTCGTCCTACATTGCTCCTGCTGCTCCTGCTGCTGCTACTGCTACTGTTGCTCCTGCCACTGCTGGCGGCCGGCGGGCGCCTGTCCAGTTCCGAAGCTTCCTGGGCTCCGCCATTGCCGCACTGTCCGGCGCCTCTGCAGCCGACAAGGCAGAAATCGTGCTACAGATGCTCTGCGGGGTCTGGCGCCCAGCACCACTACGTAATGCCGCGACGGCTGACAGCGGCGGGGGGGCAGGTTTGTACGGCGCGTTGTCTTCTTCCGCCGCCGTTGGCACCGCTGGTGCTGACTGCTATGCAAATGCACACCTTCGAAAATGCGTCCTGGACTTCAAGGAGCGACATCTGAAGGGGAGTCTTACCGTAGAGGTGCGCGGGGGTTCCCGCCCAGGTGGCGGGTGGCGGGTGGGATGGAAGGGAGGCTGGATAGAAGGCGGCGAATTGGATCTTGCACCCGTTGGGCATGTCATGTCATGTCATGTCATGTCATGTCATGTCATGTCATGTCATGTCATGTCATGTCATGTCATGTCATGTCATGTCATGTCATGTCATGTCATGTCATGTCATGTCATGTCATGTCATGTCATGTCATGTCATGTCATGTCATGTCATGTCATGTCATGTCATGTCATGTCATGTCATGTCATGTCATGTCATGTCATGTCATGTAATGTAATGTAATGTAATGTTTCAGAGTGGGAGGCTTCTGGGCCGCTTTTTCACATTGTCAGTTCTACGATCATTTATCACCTTATAGCACCACCGTTGGGCATACATATGGCGACGGTGTACGATATGGAGGGGTAGGCAGGGAGGGGCTGTGGTACCCCGCTTCGGCACGATTTATATGTTCGCGCGAAACGTTTTTTTGGCCTGACAGTGCGCCTGTTAGGTTGTGTTTGTGGAAGCTCGGACACTGTCGCGAGCCCTCGAAACCCCAGTCCCAGAATCCTACAAAGGATTTCAGAGTCGCTCGTTTGCCATTCGCCTACTAGGCATTTCTCTTAGCTTGGCACCTCAGCCCCCGTCGGGAATGTCGTTTTATGAAGGCCAAAGGCCTTAACGCCAACTTTGCTTAACAATACTTACAGTCACGCGTCCCCCTCCCCTTCTTCTTCTTCTTCTCCTTCTTCTTCTTCCCCTTTAGTTCGTCCCCTTTAGTTCATCTTCTTCGTCTCTTCTTCGTCTCCCCTTCGTTTCACACAGACCATTAAAAACCCTCACCATTATAATCATCGGGATTTTCCACCGTCGCTAATCTTGATCCGTGCTCTGCAGGTGCTGTGCGGTCGGGTATTTCCACTTCTGCGCCTTTTGACATTAGAGTCCATCCGGGACTCGCTCCGAAGCCACTGGACCAATCCTGTGTACGACAGTATAATTCATACGCTGGATTTTGGCGCATTGGCCGCCGTGTACGAGCAGATGTTGGCGGGTACGCTGACGGTGCCGCTGGCCGACGCCGGCGCCACCGGAGCTGCTGCCACGTCCACACCGTCGTCATCGTCGTCGACATCTTTCTCCTCCACGCCCGCGCCTTACAGTAATCGCGATAGCAAGGTCAGTCGTTGCCCCGCACGTCCGTCACCTGCCTGGCTCCTTAGCAGGTCAGGTCCTTGAGGGCCTGTTGTCGGGCAGTGGAGTGCTTTGGAGGCGCTGCCAAGCGCTGCCGCCATTTACAACAGCAACCATTCATAGCACAGTACCAGTGGCAATCATCGATGGCACCGCATTTTTAAGGGAATGTAGATTCCCATATTGCCTTCTCCTGCTTTTTTTTCAGCTCTCCAAGTTCCCTGATGTCAAACTGTCCAACAGCCGCTAAGCCTTCTTCAGCTGCTGAGCCCTATATCCCGTCCCTGCTGCTGCTCTGTGATGTGTGTGTGCATGTATGTATGTATGTGTATGTATGTGTATGTATGTGTATGTATGTGTATATATAATGTGTGTGATGTATGTATGTATGTGTGTGTGTGTGTGAACTGCAGAGCGAGCCGTGGGCGTGGGTGCCCTCGGATTGGTTGGACCTTTTGGAACCGCCGCTGCTACTGGTTTCGGAGCTACTGGAGCGGTTTCAGCTGCTGCAATACCGAGACATGCTGGCGGAGCCGGCGCAGAAGCTGACGGCGGCTCTGGCGGCACTGTACGAGCGCCGTGTCGTCGGCGTCGGGGGCAGTGTGATGACGCATGGGTCGCGTGGCCGGCGAATGCGGATGAAGCTGCGTGCTGTGCAGGAACAGCTGGCACATGGAGCGGTGGGATGGGATCGTGGAGGGAGGGGCTGGACGTAGGCACAGATTTACAGGCGGGTTAGGCTGCCGGAGCACTACTTGTTACTGATGTGAACAGTTCAATTTGTCGTGCGGTGGGGTGTGCGCCTCTCTTTTCCTTCTCTTGTATTCTGACTAGAGAAGGTCTGTATCTGCGGTCTGTGGTAGATGTATATGTGTCTCAACAAACCCGGGCGGCTATCCCGAGCGCAGCCGTAGCAGCCTTTCTCTTACTTGCTCGTCACGATAACGATGTCTGTGTGCAGGAACGTGTACGGATTTTGGACGAGCACGAGGCAGCGCTACAGCGCACGGCAGATGCGATCCGAGAGGCCGCCGCGCGAGGGGACAGGGTGGCAGCGGAACGGCTCCGAGACCCAAACTACCTGCCAGGTACGACATACGACGTCAGCAGGTATGTACCTCGTCCTCTTAACCTGGCAAGAACTTTTGAAGCACCGGTCTGAAAAGCCACCACGCCACCACGCATGAGGCGATAAGGCAAAAGTCACAGGTGGAATTCGTTCTGAAGACCGATTACTCTGAAGTCCTCTCTTCCCTTCTTACTCCACTCGCACTAGCTTTCGACAAAATGCACGACACACTGCTCTGGTGTACAAATTGGCGCCCTAACGAACTAACGAATTAACGAACTAAATGTTATAATCTTTGTTCGTGCTCAGGTTGCTTCGCTAAACTTGCATCACGCAACGGCACCAGGATTTATACAACAATCTTATTCGACAGCGGCTTCTTTGTGTGACTTCATTTGTTTGCTGCCGCAGCTGGGGCCCCCTGCCTTCTGAGTTTCCCTTCTCACCTCCCCTTCTCCTTTCTCCCTCCGCCCCCCTCTCTCCCCCTTCTCTACCCCCTCTCTCCTCCCTCTCTCCCCCCTCTCTCCCCCCCCACACACACATGCTAAATGCACTTTAAGGCAACCTCCGAGCCGCCGGGCCGCGTCACGACAACGACGCGGAGGACTTCCGCCACATCCTGGTGGTGCCCACGTGCGGCGAGCTGCTCTGTGGCGAGTGGCCCTACCTGCCGAGCAACAGGTAATCCTGGAAGGGGGGGGGGAGGAAGGGCGGGAGGATGCTGCGATGACGTTAATACGGTTACAGCTTCGCGATTACGTTACCGAGATATAAGATGATATTCATATCGCGTGCTGTCGCATTTATGTATGCCCACTGCGATTCTGGTTCGTCTTGCTGCTGCTGCTGCTGGAGTCCGGCGGACCCAAACTTAAGTAAAACTAACGAACGCTGCGCGCTGCCCCGTTAATCGCAAGTCTCATCCCTTTGCGCGCATTCCCCAGCCGCTTGTCGTGCTCTGGTTGTGTATGTGGTTGTGGATGTGGATGTGGATGTGA